AAGCAGTGGTATCAACGCAGAGTACTAAAACTTGATGAATCGGAAACCAAAAACAACTGGTAAAAAGAGGAGAAAAAGCTGCGTCGAATGACACCCGAGTTGCTTGCCGGTTGTTGTTCTGTGAGGTTTAAGTTGACCAAATATGGAATTTGATGGCATTTTAAAACTGATTCCGGAAACTCTAAGAAGCAAGCTAGGGAGAAGAAAAAAATTACTCTGTGTCCTATAGTGTTTGCTCTATCTACATGCCACTTGTGCTTTTTCGGAGAATAGGTACAAAAATTTTAAAAAATTGCCGAACTTGACCATGGCAAAAGGAATGGGATGCAGATTTTGTTAATTTTTCGAAAGCACAATGGAAATTATGCAATGATGTTACAACCATTAGAAAGAGGAGAAAATGCTGCATCGAATAGTGCGCGAGCTGCCTTTCTTTTGATGTTGTACGAGGATTTAGCTGCTCAAATATGGAAATCTGTAGCATCAGTCAAAATTCTGTTAAAAATGTATGACAAGCTATGGAAGGGAGAAAAAAGTAGTACTGTATCCTATAAGGTTTGCTCTATCGAATCGTTACTTGAGCTTCTTCTGAGGATTGATTTTAAAGTTTTAAAAAATTGTGAAACTTGACCATCTCAAAAAGTATGGGTCGCAGATTTTGGTCATTTTCTGAAAGCTCGTTGACTATTTTGCAACAATTTCATAACCATTAGAAAGGAAATGAAATGCTGCATCGAATGCATCCAAGATCTCTTAAAAAGCTTTGTTGCATCAAATGTGGCGCCCGTTTGAAAAAAGCGAAATTACTTTTGAAACGACCTAATATATATATATATATATATATAGCTATATATCGTTTTTAGGGCGGAAAGCAAAGGGGATATCGTTTCTACAGAGGCCGAGGCGGGGAACTGCCGCAAAAATGCCGCCGGCATGCCACCGGCATGCCATTGGCAAGCTGTCCATCAACAAACAAAGACGTTATTTTCAGCCAAAACGCAATAGTATGGCACCAAATTTGGGTGTGTGCATGCGCGTTGGTGGACCGGAACTACGGGCCAAAAATTTATGAAAACTTATGTGAATGGAAGCTGTGCCGAACTTTTTTCTGAATAAGCTGGCACGGTGCCAGCTGGTATCAACGCAGAGTACTACTTTGCTCACATAAGTTTTCATACCTTTTTACATAAAATGTATCTACACTGTAAAAGATTACATACGGAGAAGAAACGGTTTTATAATTTTCTCTTTTTAGCGTTTTATAGCAATTTGAAAACCACTCGGTCTGCTCCGCAATCGAAAAATCGGGTTTTTCTGCTTCTCAAGATGTGATTCGTCTACTTAAAAAGCTCAGAAAGCTGTGAAAAGTCCTTTCATGAAATCAGAAATGCACGAAAACACTACTGCATTTTTTTACAATAATATAATAATGATGACGGGTTGTCAAAACAGGTCAAAAGGGACTTCGTACAAGATTTTCAGTATCAAACGGACTTCGTTCTGAAATTTCCCTGATGCCAGCTCGTGCCGAGCCCTGTTATCTTTGCAGACTAGCAAAGCGCTGAGTCCTACGATCGCAAGTTAGCATACTCACGTATGCTTACTTGTGATGCGTATAGCTTTTCACTGCTAACTAAGCGAAGCTGCAAGAGGCTTTACAAATTAGCTACCAACCTCAGCTGCTTAAAAAATGAGGTTATCCTATTTAAAAAAATACACAGAAGACTCACATTCTCAGAGAAAGTTCCGGAAAATTCTGAGCAGCTGGGAAGATGCAGAAATGCAAACTTCTGCGCTAGCAAAAAGTTGTACAAAAATTTCGCTCGGGAGGCTTTGAGTGTGTCTGATCCTGAAATCAAAAATTTAATCTCCTTGTATTCGAAGTAGGCTACAAAAATGGAAATGGGCATGAGCACGAAAGAGAGTTAGCGAGAAACTAAAGTTTGCATCTTCAAGATACTGCGTTCGTTTGTAGCGAGGTATTTCGACACCCATCTTCCGTAGATAGTGAGCAATACCCCTAAAAATCGTTGCAAAGTGCAAACATGAGCACAAATTACATGACTGGAATGGGGAAGGATGAAGCACATAGAGTTATCCTCGGAAAGGTAATAAATCGAAATAGAAATTACTTGACTCGAGTTCTCCGCACATACAGGGTGTCCCAAAAAAATGTATCGAACGTTTGATCGTTGATATCTCTCCTCTAAAGAAGCCTTTTCTCTTGCTTCAGGTACCAATCTGTAGAGCTGGCTTCAACTTAGATTTGCATTATAGGACGAATCACTCTTTTTCTTCATTACTGTAGGATTACGGTAGAAATTTCAAAAAGGGTTTCAAGCAATGAAAGGCCATATTTTGCTTTAGAAAGGAAACAAAACAGCCTGAAAGCTTTTACACTAGGCTAATTAGAGTTGCTGATTATAAATGTAAAGTTCCCAAATTATTATGATGTTTTATTGAAGAGTTATGCCAGGTAAGAGGTAGCGGCCATTTATTCAATGTTCCTAAAAAGTGCGGTTACACCGCTTAGAAAGCTTCGTAATTTTGAGAATAGTTGATTATTGAACTCAGCGTCCATAAAAACCCCTATACACGAGTTCTCACAATTTTTTGAAAAATTTTAAAACGGCAGCTTTTTCCACATTGACACCATATGTTTCAAGTTTCTACCGTAATCCTACAGTAATGAAGAGAGATGGGTGCTTCGTTCTACAACGCAAATCTAAGTTGAAGCCAGCTCTACAAAACGGTACCTGAAGCAAGGCAAAAGATTTCTTGGGAAGAGAGATATCAACGATCAAACGTTCGATACGTTTTTTTGGGACACCCTGTATGTAGACCAGTGGCGTACCCAGGATTTTGGCTTGGGGGGGGGCGACAAAAATTTGCGTTAGCCACGCACCCAGAAAAAATTTTTGGTACGCTCCTTGAGATTTTCGCGGCCCCATAACCCCAAAATTTTAGAAAAAGGGGGCGTGGCATAAGCCAGCCCCCAGAAAATTGTTTATGGATCAATTTTTAGAGCTGTCACCTCAGGCTTAAGTATAAAAAGAACCAAAGAGCGATTATTGTAAGATTACGGTAGGAACTTCCATTATCTAACGCCATTTTGATTTAACTGCCGATTTTTTCTGGAAAATCTATATTTCTTAGCACGTGGTTCTGACTGGCTTTGTAGTTTTTTGGAAGCTTCTAGCCGATGTGATCACTTTTTTTGGGGATTTCGAGAAAATAGCTGTTATGGGCGGTCCGAATGGGGAGGGGGATGGCAGAATGGTCGCGAAATTCCGTACGTGGATTATAAAAATGCGCAGGTAACTAATGCGTCAAGTCACAAGATCAGAAAGCTCAACGTCGCCTAATCTTGTGCGTTTTCTCATTTCAAGAATAATCACTTCAGCTTGAAGCCAAAAAACCTTTTTTCCCTACTTCTCACAAGGGAATGATCAGAAGTCGAA